CGCAGTTTCTTGGGGCGGATTTTCCTCGCTGTAGGCCCGAGACAGCTCCGAAGGTTTGCAGTCCGGGGTAGACCCAGGAGCGTGTTTACTTACGAATAGAATGTGTGGCTGTGGAACAATGAGGTTTCATAGGCCTCCCTCACCTTCCCCTATTTCTTTTGGTCTGAATTTCCATTAATATGATTTGAACGGAGTTTTATTGGACATTCAGGAAACAGTTTACACTCTAAAATACCCCTGTGACCCAGTTACATTTACACAGTGTTTTAAAAGCCGAAATTTACTGATTGCCCAAGTAGAGAGACAAGAGGATAGAAAGACTAGAGGATCTTAACGGAATTTGTGACTGTGCCGAGGGTCCATTTCTGACTGTATATATCACTCCTACAAAAGAACAGAAATGTTCCATCTTTCTTTTTCAGTTTCTGAGGCTGGAGATGAAGGTGCGTGGACCACTGTTGAATGGGAGTCTTCTTGTGTTCTCCCTGCAGCAGCGTCTTAGGCTGCATTAAAGTGACCCCTTGCTGTCTGTTGAACCCATACGTACTCCCTCTGAAAAGCCCGTGGGTGTCAGGAGGGTTTACTGCCGTGGAGTGGGAACTGTCTTGGTGCCAGGCTGTGTGCTGGGTGTTACGTGAAGGGTGTTCTCAGAGTTGAGCTGTTAACACAGTTTTAGTGTGAGGAGGGACCAGCAAGATAAACCACTTTACAGGAGCAGTTAGTGGTGGAGGCAGGACTCTGAATGAGGCCTTTAGGCGTCTGTGTCCATGGTTTTCTTTTGTTACGCGTGGTGTTCACTCTGTACTGTTCCTTTTATGATATTTCTTCCTTAAACTTCTCATGAAGTTTGATCTCAGGAAAGGTCTTCATGAATGGGCTTGCTGCATTTGAAAAACATAGTTAAATGAAGTTTTTCCTAATATATCACCAAGTCGATTTACATTTGGTTTAGTCTTATTAGTATCTAGGGCAACTCTTCCTGGCAAAGAAAAGGGTACTCATGGGTTGGTTTATTTTTATATGATAAATATCAGTCAGTACAGTCCACTGTTGAATGCTGGGGTTATGTAACTTTACAGTCACCTACCTGTATCCGTGGCTCTCTGATGAGTAGATTCAACCAGCAATTGATCATGTAGTAACATAGTCTGTTTTTACTGAAAAAGTTTCATGTGTAAGTGTTCAAAAGCCAACTGTATTTTGGGTAGGGACCTTCAGCCTCCGTCATTTGATCTCAGCAACCTAATTTTATGATACTGATTCTTTCAAGTACAGAGTCCACTTATAGTAAAAATAACCTGACTTCAGTTATTCTAGAATTGCCATGCAGAAAGGAAGAAGGACCCCTTTTGAATAAAGTCCCCTAGTTGCTTCATTCATTACCTGTAGATTGCTAGCTTAATTTGCTCTTTTACCAGAATAAGAAACCAAACTTCATAATGTATGGGGGTTTTAGTGGCAAAATAGTTACGAAGGTAGGTCTCTGTTACTGTCAAAAAGTAACCATTTTCCCTCCTCTCTGTTGAAATAAGTAATATGCTTAAGTCTCAAAATTTTGCCTTCTTTGAGCTTACTTTTTCTCACATGTTTTTCTTCACCTTTTCTTTCATGCTTCTCTATCTCATTACTTCTGAATGATAATCAGGAGCACCCTCACCCCTGCCCCAGCCGGGGACTCTTTTGCCTCCTTTCAACAGTTTGAAAATAGATCCATGGTGATTTAAAAAGTAATCAGATAACTATAAGTTATTAAAGTATCCAGTTTATAGCTGGGGTATTTCATGGTCATTAGATCAGACACACTTTTCTTGACTGTTTTGTTCCAAGGTTGCTGTCTTCAGTTCACTTATTTTATTCCTGCTAAAAATACGTGTTTTCCTCCTGTTTCCTTCGAGACTCGGTGCTAGTTGTCACTTTTTTCTCCCACGGCCCAGGTAGTTGGTGGTTCTCCCAACAGAACATTGCTACCTAGGCCTGTTCTATGTAGTTATCAGACCTCCTTTTATTTCCCACTCAAGAAAGAATACCTGAATTCACAGGAATGAAAGAGAAGGTGTTAATTTTGAAGCCATTCTAGTGTATAAAAATAGTGACTTATCACCATAATTTAGCATGGAGTTTCATATGGTTGCTTACAACAGCCCTCACAACTAGCCGATCTTGATGTTCTGATAAGCCAGGTGCTTCTGGGTATATGAAGTTAACTAGTCTTGGATCATCAAGGAGAAGACTTAGTGATGGAGGTAGGATGTACCCACATAGTTGTAATTCAAGAGAAAATGTGATCGGTGTCATTAGCAATATAGGACCTTGCTATTGTTTTCCTGGGGGTGAAGAGATTAATTGGGGAGTATCAGAGGGGACATAAGGTATCACAGTGGCCTGGCAGCTTTGTGGGAGGCAGAGGAGCAGCGTGGTGGAAGGAGGTTAATGTGGTTATTTTGAACCCGGAAGCCACATATACCATCCATTCATTTGATTCTTGACATTGTGTATTCTGTTTGAAATTGAAATTACACATAAATACATACAAAGGCACATACTCTAAAACACATTCATGCATAATTAAATAGCACAATCAAAATCCTGGAATCTCAATGATATATTTTTCTCTAGGCACTGGCAATCATTTTGACCTCTCCAGTTGATAACAGCTTGCCAGACTTAAAATTTCCTGCTGATTTTTTTTACTATTTAAAAAATGTGTTATATCATAAAATATTGGGTATTAAAACCCAGTATGGGTTTAATTACCACTCAAGCATCTCATCCTGAAGTGATTAATAAGCCACAAAAATAACTGTTTCCTCTTCTCTCCGTATAGCGTTGGTATTTTTGGAAATTGGGTTGCCTATGCCAAGTTTTTTTTTTTTTTTGTAGATAGACTGGAAACTGTTAACTGGTCTATCAATTCAAAGAAATTGTTGTTCCTTTATTAAAAACATACCAGATAACTAATTCCATTTAGAGTTCTCAATCACTTCTACTCTTGAGGCAGCCACATGAATCATGGAATTGCTTCAGATGCTCAACAGAAGTTTCTTGCTAAGAAAACCACAAGAACATGTTCTTCTCCCCTCCCCAACCCCCCCTTTTTTTTTTGACTAGACACAGCTTTTTAATAATAAGATTTTATCAGAATGAAGATTAAAAAATTATTAAAATGGAGATTTTATTGATAAGTAATCTTAACACCTATCAAACTGGAATAATTGAGAAAATTTCAATACATTCTTATTTGGAAATACTAAATGGTTATTAAAAATGAGGATGCTCAAACTGATTAACTTAAAGCATGAAATTTTCAGCTTAGGCGTTTTAAGTGGCTGTGTTTACTGATATATTTGTATATAGAGGAAGGTACAGAATGATATTATCCATTAGGATATTAGAATTGGTCAAAGGATGGGAAAACAGAGGGGAAGATTATGAACAGAAGACAATCCAGAAATGGACTTATATACATGGAATGGGGGAAAGCAGGAGGATTTAATAAATGGTTTGAAATAGTTGGTTAGGTATTTTGGGGGGAAAAAAAAATAAGCTCAATCCCCACCTCATTCCTGTGTCAGAATGAATTCCAGATTGATTAGTTATTTACATTTTTTTAAAATAATGAAGTCTTGTAAGTTCTACAAGGAAACATTAGTGAATATTTTTTTATTTTGAAGTGAAGACCTAAATATGACCCTCAAACCCAAAAACAATTAAGGAAGATAAAAAATTGCCTATATCATATTGTTTTGAAGACTTGAGAACTAGATGAATCTTGAAACTGTATGTTCATGGATCCTAATGTTAGCAACTTAGCATTAAAAGTTTATTGGTAACGCTCTGCAAGCATTTGGATCAACGCAAACTTAAACTGACCAGACAGGCCACCACTGTGTGATTTTTGGCAACTGCATTTATGTTTGTAGTCATCAATAGGAACCACTTAAACTGGTGGTATTTAACTGTATTATTTGAACTTTCACATGAGTATGTATAAAGATTAATTTGCTTATCAATATTACTTCAAATGAATGAATGAGAAATATTAAATAATTATGAGAAAGCATGTAAGAATCTGGTTGTGTGTAGTTCAACTTTGGGCTGGGCATAGTGGAGAAGGTGCGTCTGTGTTTTTTTTTTTTTTTACTGTTTTCACCTCTACAATATGCATATGTAGTTGTTTCATTGAGAAAAAAAATTTTTTTTAAGTCACTGAAAAATATTTTAGGATTTAGGTTTCTGAAAGATTTTGTCAGATTCATAGTTATTTCAGACAATCATCTTTTAGGGGAAAGAAGTCTAGAGAGTGAAACTTGTTGCAGGTTTGTGTGCATATGTAATAGGGAGAGGCACAGATGTTGGTGACTTGTATTCCAGGTGGGTGCTCATCCCACTGAGTGACTTCATATATGGATAGGATCCTTGGAGGCTGCGTGCAGTTAGTTTTTGAAAAATGTATGTTATCTTACGAAACAGTTTTATTCTAAATCTAAAACATTTGATTCTTACAAAGCATTCACTTTAGTTAATAATACTTCTGACTAAGGTTTATCATAGTATAGAATGTGAAATTCATATAAATTATTATGAAAAGATAGGAGCCATCAGAAAATGTAGAGACCTACATCTGGGAGGATCTCTACTCTGCTGGGAGGCGTCTTTCACATTACTCTAGTGGAAGACTGAGAAACACTATCCTGGGTAAATATGAACAGGTGACAATAGCTTATCATCATCTTAACACTTTATTTGGGTTTTGAGTTCTGAAATTATAAAGTGGAAGGAGGCAGATTTCAGAAAAGGCAAATTTTATTAGCAATTTAGCCCACTAGAATGAATGTTTGATTATGTTGACTTAGAGTTCTTACTGAATCCAATAAATGCCTGAGCTGGTAGATATTTTAATCATGAAAACTATAATCCAGTTAAAGTTGAGGAAACGAAATAGACTAGTTTTAATCAGATTTACTCTGGCTTCTCTTCTCTTTTTCTTTTCACTACCACAGGTCACAGTAATGAAAGGCAGCAGTAGAAATAAAGATCGCCCAGCAGAAGGAGAAGGGACCGGAAAACGACCAAAGCGCAAGTGTCTCCAGTGGCATCCGTTGCTGGCAAAGAAGCTCCTTGACTTTTCAGAAGAGGAAGAAGAGGAAGACGAAGAGGAGGATATTGACAAGGTAATTTCTCCGTTTATTGTGGAAGTTTGAAGTTTGAACCTTCATTCAGAAACTGCAGTGGACACGTGTGGTACAGTGAGTGTGTTCCTAGGAGTCTGCGTCACTAGAATTCTATTTTAACTACTTTACCTCCAGTTTCATTCCAAATGCTGATGACTCTTAAAGTATCTATACTTCCTAATAATTTAGACAGGAAGCAGACCCTTCTTAATTAGTATTTCTCTCAATTCAGTAATGATTTGCAGGCAATAGTCAAATGAAGTGAGTTCATCAAATGTGGTATGTTCACCTTGCACCCACCTGCTGCTCCTCTGGCCTCTCTTTGCTCGTGCCCAGCCCAGCCTTGCGGCCACAGGCAGGTTCAGCGCTGTTCAGGCCCTCATCCTTGAGGCCCTCAGAGCCCCTGGGTGCTGCCGCCCCCGCCCCAGCTCCCCTCCTCTGGTCTCACACTGGAGCAGCCAGCTCTTGCTTAGGAAGTTACGCCATGATGCAGGTGACTAGAAAGCCACACATTCCTCCAGATGTTGGCATGACTGCTTCCTCACCTTTCACCTCCCCGGAGATGTCCCTCCCACCCAAGTCTTCCCCGTCCGAGGAATTTGTCCCCTTGAACTTCTTGGTCTTTGCTTTGTGTCCTTGTTTATGTCTGTCTTCCCAGACTAGAGTGTAACCTCAGCAAGAGCAGGGTCTTCCCCTTCCTGTCGTCACCTCCTTCCTTAAAGCCCAGAATGGTGGTTGGCGCAGAGTAGATTTTAAACAGTTACATGCTCAATGGGCTTCCCTGGTGGCTCAGATGATTAAGAATCTGCCTGCAAAAAAAAAAGAATCTGCCTGCAATGCAGGAGACCCGAGTTCGATCCCTTGGTTGGGAAGATCCCCTCGGGGAGGGCATGGCAACCCGCTCCAGTTTTCTTGCCTGGAGAATCCCCATGGACAGAGGAGCCTGGTGGGCTACAGTCCATGGGGTTGCAAAGAGTCGGACGTGATTGAGTGACCTTCACTTTCACCTTTCATGGTCAGTGGAAGAATGAATGAGGACATGTTTTGTGTCACTACAAATATTATAAACATTCTTCAGTATCCACTCCATCTTTTGTCCTAGGCTTGGGTCAACTCCCTTTTTCGCTCTGCTTATCAGGAATTATAAACGTTTTTCCTGTTTTGCAGACTTCTTCTCTGGGCACTGTTTATGGTCTCCTCACTGCTGAACTTTTCTTCTCTTTCACAGAGAAAATAGAGGCCACCAAAAATGACTCCTTCAGCTTTCTCTACTCAGCTTACTCTTACCTCAGTCCTTATCCATCTTTTCCTTTCCTTTTTCAGAGAAGTGCTGTCATTCTTGCTATTTGAGGAAATTGCCAAGTTTATGCTCATGCTTAGTTTGATCTTTCTCACGCATTTGCACCTTTTGATGACTTGGTTCTTGAAGCTGTCTCCTGTGTCCATGACAGCACTCACTGTTATTTCTGTTCCTGTCTTCCCAACTATACCTTTCTGGTTTCTTCCGTTTGTTGTCCATCTGTTATATTACCCTCAAATCTTGATGTTCTCTGAGCCTCTTACCTTAATTTCTGTCTCCATCCTCAACCTTTCCCCTAAATTCTGGACTTGTATTTCTGACTATTTCCTTGACATATCCACTTTAAATATCAAGTCAGAATCTCAGATTGAATGTGTTCAAAATGAAGCTTTGACTGTTCTCCAAACCCCATACCCCTGCACCTTTCTTTCGTTTCTCAGTAAATGGTAACTTCCGCTGTCAGATTGGCCAGACCTGACACCTTGTTTGTTTTCTTTTGTTCAAGTCTCTCATCTGTCCATCAGCAGGTTATCAACTGTACTTTCAAAAGGTATTCACAAGTTGACGCTTCTTTAGCAGTGTCCTGCTACCACCGTGATCCAAGCTACCCCCAGTGCTACTGCAGATTACTGTATTCTGCCTCTCTCTTCCTTGCTCCTGCCTTCTGCAGTCGTTTCTCAATAAAGCAGCCAGAGAGATCCTTCCAGAGTGACAGGTTGATTGTGCTACTTTTCACCTTCATGAGGATGGGGATTCTGTATGCTCTGTCGGCATCCCCTGGAACAGTGGCTGCTCCGTATCCCATGCCCAGTAAACAGTTATCTAGTAAAAGAATGAAATCATTGAGACCTCCTCTCTTTTTAGTCTGCAATCAAAAGGCCTCACGCACTGTCCGTCTTACTTCTTTATGTTGGTATATCAGTTCATTATCCCAACTCGGCCTTCCCTGCCAAGAGCCTCTTCACATTCTGTCTTCTCTGTACTGATCTTTCTGCTCCCCACTGGATATAACTTCCCTTCGTTTGAGAAAAGGTGTTCTCAGTTGTGTGTGAAGGAATCTCGCTGCCAAAGTTGGACACATTCTTTCTTTTCCAACCTTTACATTCAGCGAAGACACCGGTCACTCTTGCTTCTCCCTCATTGGTGAGTTGTCTCTGTTCCCAGTTCTCCGTTCTCGTGACCCTGCCTTGACTCAGGCCTGTCCCGGTTCTTGCGTGGACTGCTGGCGCGAGCTTTTCACCTGTCTCTCTAGTTTTGTCTGCTGCCGGCGCTGCTCCTGTAATTCCTGCTCTTCACAAATGACGGGGCTCATCCTGGAATGCAGATCTGGCAGCGCCTCTCCCCTGCTGAAGCCACTCCCGGCCCCTTGGCTTCTGGTAGAGGCCTCAGATCCCGGTCTGCTGCTCGTCAGTGTTGGCCTGTTGCAGAGTGTTACTGGGCCTCTGGTGAAAGGAAAAAAAAAAAGTCCAGATAATTTTTCATTTCGATTTAATTTCTATACCGTGCACTTGTTTGTTTACTTACTTTTCAGTTAGTTAATTTAATGAAATAATTGCATTAGAAGTCAAAAAAATTTTGTTTTTAGTGTTCATACTTGACAGAACAAAAAGTTCCAGTCTATGTTGGTCCCCTTCAAGGGGTTTTTTTGAGTCGTACAATCTGAAGCCACTCATTTACAGGATTAAAGGCACTCATTTTTCTTTTGCGTTTTTAAAAAAATGACAAAGCACATTGTTCATGAAACGGCCCATACCTCCTCTACAACCGCAACTCTAGTTCTCCATTCTCGTCTTCTGTATACTGGTTCTACTAAACTGCACGTGAGTGTCCAAAGGACCACTGAGCCTTAATCTTCGTTCGTTCCCCATGACCTTGCATTGACTACCTTATATATTCGGGCTTGTCTTTCAAAATTTAGCCCAGGCGACGCTTTTCTGGGGAGACTTTTCTGTTGTTCTACCAGTCCACTAGTGTTTCATTATCACACTGCTTTCTTGTTGCAGTCGTCATCCTGCTTTTTACTTTACTTGCTTTCATGTCTTTCTCCTCTCCCAAAACAGGGAGCTCCTGGGGCCAGGATCTTGTCTTATTTATCTCTTTTTCCAACTCTTGTCTTGAGTTCTATAATTTAGTCACTGGATCAAAGTTATTTTTTCTGAAGGGAAAATAAAATTACTTCCTCACCCTACATAATACATATTTTTATGCCTGATTTTTCTGTAACTTCTTAGTCAGTTTCAGAATGAAAGGTAAATATTCGTTGAAAACTCATATCATTGTTAATGATTATACCTGTAACAAGGAAGATAGATCTGTAGCCTTCACGCCGGGTAATAATCCCTAATGTACTTCCAGATCAGGTAGCTCTGACTTCGAGATTGTTCTGTACTATTTGTGTCTGAAGACAATTGGTGGTTAATTAAATGCATATACAATGCTTAATTTAAATTTAAAAGACTTTTAAAAAACATTTAGTTGGATTAAATTAGTGATTTGTCTTAGAGTGTCTGTAACAGTTGCCCAATAAACATGATATAAAAGAAGCTGATTGCCTTATTATAGTAATGGTCTCAAAGTGTGATCCTTAGACTAGCAGCATCAGCGTAACTGCACAACTTGTTAGAAATACAAACCCTCAAAGTCCACTCCAGACTTACAGAATACGAAACTCTGGCAATGGGACTTAACAATCTGTGTTTTAACAAGACCTCCAGGGATTCCTATGCCCACTTAATTTAAGAACTACGGCTCTATTGTATGTATAATGCGGTCTGACAGCTTTTTTGATCCTTCTTGATTTTAACTATGAAACCGCATTAAAGGAATGGTTTTAGTAAGCATTCTGGACTTCTGTTTTTGGTTGCAGTGTTTCCAAGAAATACCATGGAATCGTATTTTAGCCTCAGAAGATACTTAACAGTGTTATTATATTCTAAGATTCTGTGGTCAGAGATGTGCTTTAAGAAATTAAACCTGCAGCTGTGCATAGGGAGTATTATAAGGGATTAAAAGCAGGAAGATGAAGCCATAGGCCAGAGTGCTAGCAGGACAGCGGTACTGAGGATTACACAGATGGACAGGATCAGAGCTTTGCAGAAGTCCTCGAAGATCTTGAATTGAATGAGATGTTTAGAAAAATGGAGGATTCAAAAGCAGTTTTGAAAGTTTAAGCCCTATCACCATAGAATTTCAGTAGACAAGAATGTGTGATTATCTATAGACTTGAAAATTTACTTGCATAGTTCTTCCTTCAAATAATGTCAGATGTCTGTTTTGATTTTTGTGGTAGGAGGCTTCACTCTGATGTGCACAGAAACATTAAATAGTCTGTATTAGATTTTTATTCATTTTCACATTATTAGTTGTACAAAAGCACTTGCCAAAAAGGAGACAGACAGAACCAATATTCATGTATCTTTATGAGGATATTGTTGTTAACTTTGAGACCCATATACTATGGAATGGGTTTAATCCTTTATCCAGTGGTTAGTTAGGTACTAATATTATATAAGACATTAAACTAGGCACTGTGTATGAGGTAAATAAGAGAGGTTTTGTCCTCAAAGAGCTCACTGTTAGTGACAGAAAAAAATCAGGCAATTATAACAACAATGTAATACATGCTATAATAGAGACATGCACAGGTTGCTATAGAAACTCAGCAAAAGAAAACATTGTAAGTTGGTTACCAGCCACAAATAGTGGTTGATAGTTTTTTAAACCCCCCCCCCATTTATAAGTTGTTTAAATAGAACTAAGGAAAAATAAAATTTAAAAACCAACACTAATTGTTAAAAACAGAGTTATCTAGGATATGTTAAACATTTTGGCTTTTGTTTTGTTGGTAATAGGTTCAACTTCTTGGGGCCGATGGCCTAGAGCAAGATGTTGGTGAAACTGAAGATGATGAATCACCAGAACAGCGAGCCCGGAGACCAATGAATGCATTTCTCTTATTTTGCAAACGTCATCGCTCTCTTGTACGTCAGGAACACCCCAGGCTTGATAACCGAGGTGCTACCAAGATACTAGCTGATTGGTGGGCTGTTCTCGATCCAAAGGAAAAGCAGAAATACACAGACATGGCCAAGGAGGTAGGTTACAGTGAGGAGGCTTTGTGGTAACTGTGAACAGCCAATCCTGCAACCCCCAGTTAGCAGAGTCCATGCTAAAGGTCTGGCAGCAGCAGGAAGGTGAATCCCGACTTCAAGTGTTAAAGGAAGACACACAAGCTTTGTTCCTATTCCTGAGTTCCACGTCCACCTTGCAAATACTGCTGAGGTGCCAAAAGAAACCTCTCGCCGAGAAGTTTTTTCTCATTGTATGTATTGCACTGATGGCCATGAGGGATGGATTTTTAGGAATGGTGATTTATTTATTATGAATGATTTTTGTTTTTAGTTTTTCTAGGAACCCAGCTTTTGCTGTCAGAGCATGCCCATGGTGAAGATGACAATCTTGATCTAGTTCTAAAGCTAAATAGCTTTGTAACCATATCTAAGTTAATTTCTGGGTCTCAGTTTTTTGTGTTTTTTTTTTCTTTTTTAAAAAACGATGTTATTAGAAAAAGTTGGAACAAAATTTGCATCCCTTCCAGCACTAATTTTTTTTTAAATTTTGTAATATACACAGTTACCAAAAGATATGCTTTGATTTGTTTCTGTGGGTAGTAAGTTCAGCATGAGTATTCAAAGCCAGTCAAGGAACTAATGGCAGTGGAACAGGACGTACTGTGATGTGTGCATGCATGTAAACACTGTGTAAGCAGTAGCTTTCTATACAGGAATGCTTTCCAGAGAAGTGGAGTGTATGTTCCAAAATGTGACTCAATTTATTCAAAAGTTATATCCTGATCTGTTTCTAAAATAATCTTAAATTAGTGTGAGTTCATTGTACATTTAAAATGTATTGTGTAATGGATTTAGCAAGTAAGGGGAAAGCAAAGCAATATCATTGTGGTTAAACTTGAAAGAAATAATTCTTACTATATTTCTTTAGAGTTACAACTTGCAAATAATACTGATTCATGAAAAACCCCAGCCACCCAAACATTTGGTTAAGTTCTATGAAAAGATGGTACAGCAGGGGACAAATACAGAGTTTCAAGTGAGATATTTTACTAGACATCTCAGTATGTAGAAAAATAATTCTTTCAATTGCTATGGTTTTATTGAGTTACTTAACAGGCTAACATGGAACATAAAAATTGCTTACTCAGTGTTCAGGGAAATTTGAATCCAGAATAAATGATTAGCATAGTTGTTGTGTGATTAATGATCACATAAGGCTTCAGGAATTAACTGTATTGTTAAAGACAGAATTTTAACTATGTAGAGCATCTAGCAAATTTAAAATCAATTCCAGTAATCTACATGATTTTAAATGCTACTGGAGATTTTCATTCTCATAACAGTAATTAACAGTAAACGATTCCCATTAAGTAGCTTTAGATCCTTTCACAGTCATGCTTCTGTGATAAAACAGTTAATCCGAAACCTCATAGGGCGTTGCATAAGCTTCCTATAATTAAACTCTTGAGTCTGTTTTTGGATCACTGTTTTTGGGTGACATGCAGCCTGTCCCATAACTGTTTACTTTCTCAAATACTGCTAATTGATAAACCCAACAGGAGGCCACTTGCAAGAGGAAGGAAGTCTTATTTTCATACAGGAATTCCTTTACTAGTTACTAAATTAGCTTCACAATATTCGCCATTGTGGTGAGGAATGAAATCTAAATCTCACAAGGTGTGCTGTGCCCCCTCCCCCGGCCCAGTGGAGACCCCAACTGGATCTTCCACCCCACAACTCGCCTTGTTCATAGTTGCTCTGATGAAATGTCTCACTTCTAGTGCCACGTGTGGAAGGTTCAGCTGCTTTCAAAATCCTTATACAATTGGTTTCTAGTCAGAGTGATAACCTGTTTCTACCTACTTACCGAATGGTTTTGAAATTACAAACGAGTGCAGGTAATTGGGCTGGTGTTTTTTTGTGTGAATATTACAGCCTTAATTGAAATGTCACTTGTTTTTTCACTTGTTAAAACTTTCTCTGACTCATTACTTGCTGTCTGATTATTTTCTATTAGTGCATCTGGTGAGGGGAAGTACCTCTTTGGGAATTTTTCAGTTTTTTAAATTATTTCCCAGGGCTGATTTGTATTGTTGGGGGGGGGGGGTGGAGGGGGGGGAGCTGAGTGAGGGTTTCATGTTTTCCAAGGGTTTTAACCTGTCCTAAGGGTATAACCTGGATTCCTTTCTTAAATTCAGCAGCATGCCTGATGGTGCTGCGGGCATTCATAGCCTCTAGCTTCTGCAGCTGCCTGCTAGTAGACTCAAACCGTATTATTGTTCCTTTTAACATCTTTATGTACACATTTGTACAGATGTGCAAATGTAAGTCTGCATTTTTTACTGGAACATTTCTGGAAACTTCTACATGTCACTTAAACTAATGATCATAATTAATTAATGGACAGTCAAGATAGAGGATCACCGATGCTATTCAGATAGAGAGAATCTCAATGCCAAAGAGAGGGGAGGATCTGGGAAGTTCAAACAATTTTGAATGACCTTTATCCCACCCGCTTTGGTTTTTGTAGCCTAGGCATGGGACAAAATGCATGCATTTATTGACTAGTTAGTTCATTCCAGAGTGGATGTGTTACTTAAAGCATAAATATTTAAAGTCAGTTATGATTGTCCCTCGGGGCTTCCCTGGTGGCTCGGAGGTAAAGAATCCACCTGCCAAGGCAAGAGATCCTTCGGTCGGGATCCCCGGGTTCGATCCCTGGGTTGGGAAGATCTCCCGGAGAAGGAAATGGCAACCCACTCCACTATTCTTGCCTGGGAAATCCCATGGCCCAGAGGAGCGTGGCAGGCTACAGTCCATGGGGTTGCAAAGAGTTAGACATAACAGCAACAAGTGTTCCTGTTCTTCAGAGCAGGGACCTAAGGCTGTTTGGAGTTAGTATCTTGACCAATCATAAAGTTGTGGACCCTGGGATAGTCTTCCCTGTTTGCTTCTGGCATCCTTGTAGTGTATGTTGCTCACTTTAGATGACTGGGAGACAAGAGATTTGAGTAAGAAGTTAAAAATGGTAACTGTAAAAAAAATATCATGGTCTCATGGGAAAAGTCTGCTTGTGCTGGGGTTGGGGGTATTTCAAAAAGGCTTTATGAAGTTGTTAGTAGAATTTGGTATGTCCCTTGGCACAGGATTCAGAAGAAAGGCAAGGATACGAGCAGATAGGGAAAAATAAGAACAATTTTAGGAATGAGAAAGTTTTACCGGAAGCCTGAGCTGTTTGTAGGTGAGTAATAGGAAATGATGATATAAAAGCGAACATCTTGAGAAATTGGCCTGAAAAGTTGGAAACTCAGTTGTACGTTAATAAAAGAGCAATGGAATCATGCAATAAAATACAGTTTAAAAGTAACCTCATTGATCCCCACATTCTTGAGAAACAAGTGTTACATTTGTTATTTCCATACAAGAATTATTTTATAATCTGTAATTTGGTGAGAGTTTTGTGAACAATTGAGTTATAGTCACGTTTTCATCTGTTTATTTAATGATTCTTAACCCTTCTGTTCTTTGGAACTTCCACTTTGGTTTTCCAAGAATCTTTTTTGGGTCAAGCCATAGCTTGTCAATTGACATTTCTTTCCTCTATCAGACACTTTCCGCTACCTCTAATGAAGTAACTTACTCTGTGTGGGTTTTTCTGAGTTTGACTTAACTGGGGCCCCAGCACTTTAAGGAGAGGTGGGTAGCAAAACCAAAGATTTGGGCTTCACGGTTCTCAAATTTCTTGTTTCTGAGGCCTTTCCCATTCCTGTGTTCTGGATGTCAGGACTTTCTTATTATAAAAAAAAACACTCCTGTTTATGCTTTGAAATAATATCAATTTTTGACTATTGCTTTATTCTCTCCAGGGTTCTGACTCATTTAATCCTAAAAATAATCCCACAAAGTAGATACTGTTTTCTGAAAGCTTGAGATTGAGGACACTGCAGCCCAGAGGAATTATCCAAGGCAGCACATTACTAGCAGTAGTTTGGGTAGCCGTCTGCCTTTTCAGACCTTCTGAGTTTCCACATTTGTAAATTGACAGTGAAGATGCCTGCCCTCACAGGGCTGAGGCTAAGATGCAAGTAAAGCATTGTGTACACAAACATGAAGTTTAAAATGCTATGAAACATTAGCTGTTCCTGATAAGCTTATGTTTGTATTTCATACTTCTTTACCTAGTAATTTTTAAACTGTTTTCATTAGAACCTATTAACACACTGAAGTGCTACTAAAATACACAATTAATCTTTGAAACATAAGAATCAACAAAACTAAAAGTATCATTTGCCCAGCTTGGCAGATACTGTCCAATGTGATTAATGATTCCTAACAAAATAGATGTTCCATTAAGTGAGCTAACTACTTGATTTCAGAAATGTCAGTCCATTTGCTAATTGTTAGTTGTTTTTCTAATTTGCTGATTGTTTTTCTGGGATTCTCTTGCTTTTTCTATGATCCAGTGGATGTTGGCAGTTTGATCTCTGGCTCCTCTGCCTTTTCTAAATCCACCTTGTATATGAATTATCTGTTAATGCATTTCCAGAAATGCAGATAATGTTTGCTTACCCAGACCCCTACCATCCTTTTATAAAGTGCCAAAATTAAAGCTTAAAAGAAATTCTGAAATTTTTATTTTTAATTAGTGCTAACTGATTAAACAGACTTTCTCTTCCTTAACCCAAATTAGGGAGGAAAATTGTCCTTTAAAAAAATTTATATGTGGAAATGAACTCCTGTCTCCGAAGTAGTCCTTACAGGGAATTTAGGCAAAACCATATCTGTAGCCAACTCAGTTATTCCTTTATGACTTTTCTGCAAGAGAACCAAATAACTTCCTGGTCACTTATTCAAGTCACTTTTTGAAATGTATGGTTTTTACTGGAGTGGCTTTATCATGAAAGTTTCTTAGGTTAGTGTATAATTTAAAATACTTCAGTTCTATCAGATACATAAACTTAATTCATCATCCTGTCATATAAAGGTCTGATTCATTTTCATCCTGTTAAAATGTCTAGTAAGAA